ACAGGGGGGGAGGGGGAGAGAAAAGGGGGTTCTCGGTGTGAATGAAGCGTAGCAAACAGGAGGAGAATCAATGGAGAGGAAGTCGGGGATAAAGTGAGGGAGGGGGTTCATGGGGGTAGGAGTGTGCGGCGGTGTGTTAGGCGAGGGGATATTCTTGTAGAGCCTGGCTCCTGATCGGCTCTCCACTAACTCGCCTAGTTGTTTGCCTCCTAGGCTATTAGTTCCAGGTTTTACTGATTGCTGGCCTCCAAGACCAGATCGTATCTACACCTGAAACTTTTGTATAATGTTGGATTGTATGCTGCTACCTGTGACATACAAGGGTATCTAGGCTTCTTTTATCATCGCAGTCCAGCCACGGATCAGGCTTCTTGTTGACCGCCTGGTCAGCTAGGCTGTTTGTGCTGGTGGCCTGCAGGCCCACATAGAGAAGCCCCATTCAAGGCAGGCGAAATTGCGGAACTAAATGTATAGAGAACCTTCATTGCATATATTAATTACGTCAAGCACCTGAATTACTGGGAACGTACCCCTGTACCCCCTTTGAACGCAGGCGAGAAAGATGCATCATAATCTACACCTGGAAAAACCCTAGATCAGCCGGGCTGTGGTTCCTACGTTATATTGCGTGCTGCCACCAGTAATAACCAGATTGATCAGGTCATTGTGCACCAGAAAGCCTGGTCGAGGACTGCGGGGAAGTTGACCCCCAAAACAACCTCCAGGTAGATCACAGTTCAGATGATCAGAAATTTGCACGTAATAGTTGTCCGGTTTCCTCTTAGAAAATTTCTACTGTCGTTCCGGCAGTATTATTGATTTTTTTGCTTGTAATAGGTTAAGGAGTCTTGGACCAAGTATATTGACACAGATTTCTCTAATTGTACTTATGGCACCCATGAGTTTCATCTGGGCTGTTCTACACTATCTCCATATCTTTAACTACAGTAAGTTATGATAGTATGTAAATTGGGGACCAGGCCTTAAAGATTTTTCCATATATACAGGGTGTTTCCAAAAGATGGACTCAGTTTGAATATGTTATCAGGTATACTTTTCTCCATTTTAGAGAGAACAAACCAAGTACTTAGAGGCATCTCCAGTAGGTTGCCTTCTTGAGTCTTTGTAGGCCGTAAACGACCTCTATATACCTTTCCAGGTTGGGTATCTAGTATCCTGAATGTTTCTGTAAGAACGGTGCCCCGTTTCTGTATGCAAAGAACGGGCCCCCGAAACCCTCTCCAGGTATACTCCAGGCAAGTGTAAGGACTGTGGTTGGTATGTTAGACTGCGAGTGACCAGCAGTAGCAGCATGGTTGATCTAGCCTTGATCCTCGGAGAGGCCTGGTCTTGGACCGGGCTGCGGGGACGTTGGCTCAAGGAAGTCCTTCAGATATCCCAAAGGTGGACTACAGAAAAGAGTTTGACGTTCAGTGAGGATAAATTTTACTTACTACTGAAAATTTGAGGAAATAAAAATTGGAACGGTGTTCAAATAGGTTCATCCATTCAGTGAATGATTGGGGGGGGGGGGAGTTTGGGGTGATAATATCAGATCTCACTCTAAAGGATCACAAGTGTTATTATCACAACTGCAAGGGAAATGATAAGCTTCATAACTGGAACCTTCACGAGATATCGAACCAATGATATTTTCAGTCACTTGTTTTCTATGTAAAGGCAGGCACAGTTGCAGATCTGAAGAATGTAGAGAGAGGAGCCTTCACTGCTCGTGAAAATTTAATCTCGTACCTAAATTACTGTGAACCCTTCAGTCCCTGGAACTGTGACTCCTTGTTCAAGGATTGAACCTGTCCTCTTGTTTGAACTTGATTATCTTCCACCATCCCAGGGGATGTATGACCGCTATAGGTTTAGCTCTCCCAGATGGCTTGCGAAATACACATACCGTCGTGGTTTTTTTTAAGCTGTTCGTCATTTTTTTTTTTTCTTGTTAAGTTTTCTACGTTCTCTTTCGATGTTATCTCCTTGGTTGGTACTAACAACCTAACTGTGATAGACCATCAGCTATGAGGCCTGGTATGGGACCGTGTCGCGGGAGCGATGGCCCCCTCGGAATCTACTACAGGTAGACTGCTTCATCTAGTGCGTCGTTCACCTGTCATCCGTGCGTCTCCCCCCTTTTATCTCCAAACAGTCTCTGCTCCTCCTGCCTGTGTGGCAACCTTAAGCGAGGTGATGGTTTAGAGCAGCGGCGGCAGCAGTAAAAACCGTCACTCTCGTCAGTTCTAATTCCGCGTGAATTATTGCAACAAAAAAACGGTGGTAAGGTTTGAGTGATTTGTCATGTTAAGGAGGGGTGGGTATGGCGGTGCTAATTGTGGGATTGAGGCCGTAACTGTAGGGCTTTAGGGGTGGAGGGGATAACTGCTGCTAGGAGCAACAGTTAGTAACCATCCCTCTCCCCGTCTGTCTGTCTGTCTGTCTGTCTGGTATTAGCTATCAGAAATCAGTGTGTACTCGCCAATCCGTATTTAAGGTATGGGAGGGGGGAGTTGTTGAATCTTGGCTCCTGGTATCGCCTCTCAAGTTTCGTCGACCGGTAATACTGGTTTCTTGCCTACTTCTTGATTCCGGAGGCCATCGCCCCTAGAATGTGTTAAGTTTACATTTACTGATTCCACATCCATCTCGTTGTACTTCCCTGCTATCCTAAGACTGAGGCAGTACCTCATGCATCCTAGCATTTGTCTTGTTTGTCACCACTATCAATTCCCTTTAGTATCTTGTAATTGTGTGCTCTAGTCTTCTAGTAAAGTAGTCGTATTTATGCCTTCAGTATTATCTAGCGCGCACTTCTCAACGGTAGGAATAGTCGGGTTCCAACACTTCGGAACTTTTTAAGTCATTTGAAGGTTAAATAATAATGAATCTGCACTGTCTTACATTAGGATCGTATTGCATGACACGTAGATCACGATAAGACAGGTGGAAATAAAGAGTGGTGATGATGGTGTCCAAGTTAACTATATATGTGGCAGCTGCGTGTAGCAACTCTGACATAACAGAAACTGCAGTGTGTGCATGATGACACAAATATTCCAGCATTATTTTTCTTAGACTGCAGCAGAGGGCAGGAATGATCGATTAATTCCTATGACGACTATGAGCACGTAATGAAGGTTGGGAGCACTAAAAAAAATAGTATATCTTTCTATTAGGTAATTTTCCATGGCCAGGCTCCGGGAACAGAAATAACTCTCGGAATTCATCAAAGGTATAAAGGTATATATTGTAAAGGAAGTGATACTTGAATGTTGATTTGATACAAATAACGACTAATGACAAATTGGGCTGCAGAGTACTGTCTTCCTGGCGGATTGTTTCTTTGCATGTTAAGTGGCGATATCCCATTAATTTACTCATGCAGTAAAAAAAAAAAATCCTTGCCTTGTTCTCACTTTACTTCTTCATATTTCTTTATCTTTTCCTTTTGCATTTTTTTTTTTGTTGGTGATAGTTGTGGGAGGAGAGGTGGTTATACTTATGATGGATGGCTTAGTGGTGGTAAGATTAGTGATACTGGTGATGAATTGTTGGGTGTGTAGGTGTGCGAGGTGCAACTAAAATAAATATGTGCTGCATATTGTAGAATTTGTAACTTGATGGATGTGGCCCGCTATACTTCGTTCGTTGTTGTATGCTCCTTGCATCCTTGGATGTGTAGACCAGTGATGGTTGTGTTAGCGTTACCGCACGGTGGAGATACAATCTTGTATGCTGTGGTGGACAGAAGATGCGGGTAGCTCGCTCGCCGCTCGTTTATCTGGTGGTCGCCATCTGCATGTTAATTGCTGACGCGATGCTGATGCTACATCTCTCACTCTGGGAACTGTATTCATTAGTATCGTCTCGCATTTTCTCCATACCGCTTTTCGATCAAGTTTTCTGTTAGCCTTTTTATTTGCTAGACAGGCTGATTCTTCCTCTGTTTGATAACATTAATTGATACATAAAAATGGAGCTACACACGTGGTAGTTTTTCTGTTGTACATAAAGAAGAGTTAATACATGTATAACCTACCTAGAGATTGTCACAGACCTCGCTTACCTTTCTTAAAGACAGCTACCCCTTGCATTAGGCTCCACTTGTAAATATTGTCTACTTACGACAGCTAAATATGCGGGAGGATATGACCCACATAGAAACAGGAAAGGTTTGTGTATTTGCTAAAGGGGATCACGGTTGAAGGTCGAAATATAAAAAAAAATCTTAACTGTGCTCTTCTCTTGGGTTATATTCTCCCACAAAAGTAGCCATTTATGAACGTCTCTTGAGGCCCTTAGTTATAAGACAGCATGAAATTTCTCACACTGGGGGGCAAACTTATTAATATATATATATATATATATATATATATATATATATATATATATATATATATATATATATATATATATATATATATATATATATATATATATATATATTATATTATATTCGTTTATGAGGAAGTCTAAGATCTTTGAGAAGTTATATTTGTGGTTCTTCGTTTCTGCCTGTAGTGGGAGCATCTTTCTCTTTCTAGCTCACATCCTCTCTCTCAACACTACGAGTCGAAGTGCATGTACTGCTACTTAGCTCGTCTCCAGGCGCTGGCTATAATTTTTAAGATTCCTACTCATGCTTTACATGCAGACTTTATATTTTACTATTGATTTTTGCTAGTAAACCTTGATTTGTGCTAGTAGGGGATTTAAATTTTGTTTGTGGTATTTAGAATTTGTTTAAACAAAATTTATTGTAGGATTTAGTTTTTTTTTCCGGGGGGGGGAGGGGGGAGAGGTTAGTGTCTAGTGATAAGATCTTAATATTACATTGTAAATTCAAGGATTTTTATAAAACTTTAATTCGGCTTAAGTTTTTTTTTTTTTTTTTTTTTTTTTTTGTCAAATCTGTGACCGGTATATCAGATATAATTTAATTGGTTTTGTCCTGGTGTTGATTGTTGACAGTTTTTTTTTTATTTTGTCTTCAGGGTCCTCCGGCGCCTCCCACTGCACCCGGGCAGCTCAAGTTTACCATCGCTGAGACTTGCGACCGCATCAAGGAGGAATTCAACTTCTTGCAGTCACAGTACCATGCGTGAGTACCTGTGTACTCACAGGGTTGTCTTTGCGGGGGTTCGAGGCTCAGATCCTCGCCCCACCACTTTGATCGGAATAACTGATTTCTGTCCTCCTGGGGGATTACCTACTACTGAAACTGTGTGTTTAGTTTGCCTTCACTACTGCTTCATATTAGTCGTTCCACTTCTAAACTACCCGAGACTAATGAAGTACGTTCCTACATCCCTATAACTCATCTGTATCTTCTGCTACCGCCTTTGCTCTCTTAATTCAAACAGTCTGTCCTTATCTAACCTATGAGTTCCCTTTCAGATTTTGTTATAATCATGTGTTCCCTAGTACTCCTCTCCGCCAAAGTCGTAAGGCTCACTTCATCCAGCCTCTTAAGAGTGCATTCCTCTGTTCTGGTACTAGCCTTGTTGCAAACCTTTGTACCTTTTCCATCTTGTGCTTGCTCAGGTGTGAGCTTAATTCTAGGTCGCGTACCCAATGATTGGCCTGACACGTTGTATTGAAGGTTCTGAAGGATTCTTTATTCAAATTCTGGAATGCTATTGTGAGGTTTGCTACTCTTACACATGTTGCTGCTGCTGATGTATGGTTTATATGAATTTCTGGTAGTATGCTTGGTGTTCAACGCCAAGTCCTCATTCTCTGATATTTGCAGCTTATATCCGCCCATGTCCTCTTTCCGACTTGTCCTAACTTTGCATTTGTTTGGGTTGAACTCTTAAGACTCTTGACCACATCCATAGTTTAAGGTCTTCAAGAAGTTTGTCAGTATCCTTTCCTATTCCTGTTCTTCCCATTGGATTTACATCATATTTACATCATCTGCAAATAGTGACAAATAAGGTTCTTCCCTCTGGCAGGTCGTTCATGTATCCTGTACTAGGAACAGTAGCCCTAGAGCTAATCTTAGTGGAACCTGACTTGGTACTCCCATTCTTATTTCTCATCCTGTACTGTTCCTCTGTCTTCTGTCACGTAGGTAGTTGCTGACCTCTGCCTGTTCCTCCAGTCTCCGGTGTAGTATTGTATCAGACGTTTCCCAGCAGTCCAGTAAGTAAGCTGCTGAACTGATTGCACACAGAATGAGGTAAAGGTAGGTAGATGGATTTACTGGTACCTAACACACACAACACAAAAAAATGTAGTAAACAGAGCAAAACCCAACATCAGCAAGATAAAAAGCTCAGTTCCCCAGTGCACTGTCCTAGCACCTCCTGCTGTTTTTTATCCATATAACGGATAACATTAAAATAAGTATGAAAGTCACTACGGAAGAAGACACTGAAAAAATGCAGGAAGATGTAAGTAGTATTTTCAAGTGGGTATTGGAGGACATGACGTAAAATGGTTCAAGTGGCGTGCGAGGTCACCGGACCTAACTGTTTGTGACTTCTTTCTTTGATGGTATGTGAAGAGCACAGTTTACGTACCACCACTACCTGCAACCTTGGAAGAGCTGAAAATTTCGATCACTGAAGCAGTTCGCATGATAAGAGATATGCTGCAAAGCGTCTGGACCGAACTGAACTATCGCATCTATGTTTGCCGAGCAGTCAGAGGGGCGCACATTGAGTGCCTTTAATGCTACCCTGTACCACATGAAACTGAATGAAATGCTGCATCTGAAGCTACTGTGAAAGATTATTACAATAAAGTTGCATGTTATACCTGTTTGAAATCAGGGAGTTTTTGTGGATACCCTGTATATATAAGTGGATAAAAAGGTTTCAAGGATGAATATTTAGATTTCTTCCTGAAGCCATTTGAATATTCCACTTCCATACCACCCCGGGTATCTTCTCATTTTTTACCAATAGGTATATTTTATTACATAATATGGTACAAAAGATTTAAGAAAGACATTGTTGATAAAAAGATGGCATATACAGTACATGAGGTACCTTTGATATACCTTTGAAGAGTTTCGAGAGTTTATCTACTCTGAGTGTACATGAGATGCATGTCTAGTACATATTGTTACGTGTTTGTCACTGATTATATTGCGAAAATCTCATCTAGCTCCTCAAGAGTTGGGGTGCGTGCCCGAGATACAGCAGACATTACCCTTCTGAACAGCAGCGCTGAGTTGCTGGAACAGAAAACTAGCTGCCCTGGGATCCCTAGTTACTGAGTCTTTTGCCTAGCTCCTTAAGGAACTTAAATACACTCTTTCCCCATGAGCCAAGGGTCTCCGAGCCTGTGGGAACGAACATATGATGATGGGCAAGTTCTCCATATTTTCTAGACTTCTGGGACTCCCTGAAGCTGGCAGCTGCCCCTCCTTCCTCCCTGGCGTATTGGAGATAGGTATCAGACAAGGTAGATGTATAGTCCCACACCACCGACTTGCCGTCTGTCCAGGTTTGAAGGGTGATACCATCTGGACGCTTTTGGCTGCCATCAGATCTGTATAGTTGGGATGGCTCGCTTATTGCTGGGTATCCTGCTGTCGTGAGGCTCCTCTTGATGATGTTATTAACTTCATGGGTGTCAAGATTGCCTATTCGTTGTTCCATTCTCCTCGGCTCTTCCAGTTTCTTCCTGAGAATTGTCAATGACATTGCTTCCCAGAGGTGCTCCAAGCAAGACCCTATTTGTGGAGGCAATGACTGATGCTCCTGGTAGTTTTGACCTCGCTGCATCTATCACTTGTTGACTGACTGCGATGATTTCGCATTTGGATGGATTCAGGATTGGACCCATTTCCTGTCACCGTGTCATCACCTGTGTAAGATCATCTAGAAGCGACTCCTTTCTACCTGTTAGTGTGCCATCTATATATTATATATATATATATATATATATATATATATATATATATTATATATATATATATATATATATATATATATATATATATATATATAATATTTTCTTTCCCGTTTTCCACACTTCCTCAGTATTTTTCAGCGTTGGTGTGGCCGGGGGATGCGAGGGTGGTGGTGGTCCTACCCCTCACCAAACCTTAATCTGATTACTGGCAAATAACGCACGGGTTACTGCTGCCTTAACATCCGTCCCCCTTTCCCCTCTTTCTCTCTCTCTCTCTCTCTCTCTCCTCTCTCTCCTCTCTCTCTCTCTCTCTCTCTCTCTCTCTCTCTCTCTCTCTCTCCTCTCTCTCTCTTCTCTCTCTTTCCTCTTTCTCTCTTTCTCCTCTCTCTCTCTCCTTCTCTCTCTCTCTCTTTCTCTCTTTCTCTCTTTCTCTCTTTCTTCTCTTTCTTTCTCTCTCTCTTTCTCTCTCTTCTTTCTCTCTCTCTTTCTCTCTCTCTTTCTCTCTCTTCTCTTCTCTCTCTCTCTCTCTCTCTCTCTCTCTCTCTCTCTCTCTCTCTCTCTCTCTTCTCTCTCTCTCTTCTCTCTCTCTCTCTCTCTCTCTCTCTCTCTCATATATATCTTTACTTTCTCCATTACAAACGTCTTCGTGATGTTCTTTGTCTTGTTAAAATGCTTCTGGCACTGGATTTTCAAATGTTGTGAAACTGCCGTTCAGGAGGACAACCATGAAGTGATTAGCAGTAATGTAAACTACATGGCAGCAGTGACTAACTGCAGCTAACAAACGCTAAAATAAAGCTAGGTTTTCCAGCTAGAATATCTCGGTAAAATCCACTCCAAACATTGATGCAATTACAGTGCAATTATGTGAGTGCTCCGGTAATGCACTCTGGGACTGTACTCGGCAGATTGTTCTAGGATAAACTGTGAATGTGTCTAGAGGTCGAAGAAGATAGTACTCTGATTTAACAAAATAAGCCTCCAAAAAAGAAAAGGCTGAAAATTTAATGCAATGAAAGAGTACTGCAAAGTCTTCAATGCGTTTCAGGAATTTAATGTTCGAACAAGACTTGGGGGGGCATGACAATTCGACTGTGCAAAATCACGACTGGTATTTTGCTTTGAAAGGGTTCAACGCTACGTGTCGCCTACCTGTACATGCTTCCTATCCTCTTGTCTCCCATATATCCAGGAAACTTCAGGGCTTTCTCCAAAGAGTGTTAGTTAACATTAGTGAAGTAAAAAGCTCATAGCCCCAAGGAACCGTCCTGGCGCGTATACTGCTTCGTATCCTTTTAGCGGAAATAGATAAAAACACACGTAAGTTTTCATTCACCATTTGCAGATGATACTAACATAAACATGAAAATCACCTCTGTAGAAGGCACGAAAAAAATGTTAGAAGATATAAACAGTTTTCCTTTGGGAAGTTAAGAATAACATGAAGTTCAGTAGTGACACATTCCAACTGTTTAGATATGAAAAGAACTCGAGAGAGATTGCTTATAAAACGCTAGAAAATCACCAAAGAGAACGAAAGTAACGTGTGAAAGATCTGGATGTAGTAATGTCGACTGACCATTCTTTCAAAGAATACAGTAAAGCAAATATCACGAGAGCCAGGAAAATAACAGGATGGATAATGAGAACTTTTAAAATAAGGAAAATAGTGCCAATAATAACACTTTTCAAATTAACATGTGTTGTCTTGCTCGGAGTATTGCTCAGTGTTGGTTCCTTTCAGCCCGCATACACCTAATTAAGCATTCAGACTACTGGGAACGCCTCTTAAGCCCGAAATATGTACTCAGTAGAGCGGATGAGAGAGAGAAGAAATGCATAATATAAAAGTGGAAGGTGCGTGAAGGCCTGCTACTTAATCTGCACGTTGCCAAAAAACATACTAGAGTGAGAAATATGGAAGAATGTTGAAAATAAAGCCAGTGAAAACAGGGACCCCGTGGACACAATAAGAGAGTATTGTTCAGCATCCGTGGGCCCAGACTGCCTAACATCACAACATATCGGTGACTACCGGAACACGTATAGAAATTTTGAAGAGGAAATTGGACAAGTACCTTCGTCAAATGCTAGATCAACCAGTTTGCGATGGGCCAGCGGGCCACCGGCAGTAACAGCCTGACTGATTAAGCAAGCAAGAGGCAAGCCTGGTCCGGGGTCGGGCTGTGGGAATAGGAAAACTCTGGAAATTCTTCAAAGGTATATCAGAAT